ACATTGTTAGGTTTTTAAAAATGCAAAAAAAAAAAAAAAACAACAAAAAAAACCCACTAGGCTTCTTGTAGGATACTTTGTAGAATTTACTATTTTCTCTTTTGCCTTTCTGTAGCCTCACTTTTTGTTGTTCTTATTTCAGATATGAATTTCTGGGGTTTTATGAGGTTACATTCAAAATTTCCTTGGAGAAAAATCAATGAATCACATCTTTTGGGATGCCAGAGCACAATTTGCCTCTCTTTCACTGCAGAGAACTTTGCCAAATCTATGGCTCCTTTCAAAGTTCTGCCACAAGACCTTGTGGGTGGGGTCTGAAGGCTCTAATATAACGCAGAACCGATGAGAAGCCTGTAAATGCCCTTTTCCATTCTCAAACGCAGACCTGCTTTATCACTTAGAACCTCTGAGTGGCTTCTGGATAGTTTCAAATGCTTGAATTTTGGATTGAGAGGGAAGAACCTAAAGGTTCTGAATGTATTTAAATTCTAAGGAAACACCAGGATTCACTAGGCAACTTCAAAGAATCTAGAACAGGTGGGATGACATTGCCTAGAGTTATTCTTGAAACAATATATTTTTTAGTCCAGAGGTCATTCCGGCTATTTCTGAAGCTTTTCAGTTAGTGCATGTGGCCTGATGGCAGAGTGCCATAAGCATGGTTTCCAGGCAACAAAAACACTGTGAATTATTGGCCTTAGGATACCCATGAGGCTTGCTTCTCTTTTCCTCCAAAGATTAGTCACAATCTTTTTATTCTGAGCCTCAGGGACTCAAGGCATTTGCAAATGAATCTATGGATTATTGTGTATGGTTGGTTGTTAAAGTAAGACCTTCTCAAGAGGGTCTTTTGACCTGAGTGTTAACGTAAGGAGCATGTCTCCTGCTCTGTATCCCTTTGATTGAGAGTTACACTCAGGAGTAAAACCAAGATTTAAACAGCTATCAGGTTAATACTCAATATAGTTTTTATAGGGAGAAGCCTCTGGCAGTCATGATACAGTTAAGATCTGATTTTCAATACTGAAATTATCTGTTAAACAATGGCCTGACTCAGAACTGACCCACTTAAAACTCAGGATCTTGAGACCCCAGTCCTGATTCCTAGCACTTGCGTCAATTGTGCAAAGTGCTCTCCTCTCTTTCTGACTCTAGGAATAACAAACAGGTGGAAGGAACTTGGCTGAAGAGAGGGGACACAATGTCCTCTGCTTCTGTTCTGTATTCGGCCCGGGTATGAATCTGCTTCCAAAGCAAAGCTGAACTCTGCTCCTGTCTACGTGGGTGGTTTTGGAAAGATAAAATATATCCAATAGTTCCTGCCAGGACTGAAGGAGTTGGGGGAGAATTGCATGGGGTAAAAATCCATTTATAGGGATATTCAGGGCCAGAATAAAACAAATAAAAATGTGTAATAGAGGTAAAACAAACAGTAGCAGTAGAGGAGAAAGGATCAACTCACAGTTAAAGAGAGTGGGAGAGGGCTTAAGGGGACTGAGGCAAAGTATACTGCCTTACAAGGGAAGATAATTTATAGACTGAATATAAGCATCAAAGCCACGAGAGTGTTGGATATTTTGTGATGGGGCGGGGTAAAGGAATCATCTTCTTGTCTTTCACCAGTAGCCTGCATGATTCAGGGTTGAAGGAGACTATCGTGAGTGTTCTACACAAGGCTGTACTTCTTGCACTGAAACACTGTCTGCTCTAAATAAGTGTAACTTTTGTATTTATATTTTATGTATAGTTTTTACAAACATTTACTAAGTAGTATTATTTACAAAACAGTATACTAGGTATACTAGGCCCAGAGAATTCCAAAACATGTAGAAGAAGTAGAAGAAACGTGGATGTTCACAAATGAACAAACAAGGGGAGGCAAAAGAAATATTTTTAGTGTGGACTGCCTGTGTCAAGATTGGAGCTGGGAAAAAGTTAGAGAAATTCTCGCAAGCTTTAAAATCCTCTTCTCGTGATGTGGTGTTCAGAAGTCCTGCCCCAGTTTGTGGAATGGAAAACAGGCATGATAGAAGCCACTTTTAATTCTAGATACATTTTTCTAAAATGAAAACGTTAGTCTTTTTTTTTTTTTTTTGGCTAAGTTATTCCTACTGCTTATGTAAATGGTTTTATTTAGGAGGTATTATAAAAATACACCAATACATGTTTGTTTGGGATATTTATATCCTCGTAAGTACTGATGTTAATGTATATTAACAAGAATGATTATAATTGGTTTTGTTCCAGAAAGAGCACTTTTCATGCCTTTAGCAATCCTGGTAGAGAATACTATCCTTAACTTATAGATACCAAATTCTTTCCTACCCATTCACAAGATGCCTTCCAGAAGTCCATCTTCCTACCAACCACCCACTTCTTGTTTCCCCTTCTGAGAAAGTCGTTTGCATCCCTGAGCCAATGGTTTCTCACTGGTGTTTATCTTATGGTAGTAACTCCAAGGCATTTTGCTTATTCCTTCTTTCTTCATCTCGGTCATTAAATCAGAGGACTGACAGCTTCACCTGGAATCCAAAGCCTACCACAAAATGACCCCACTAGACCTTTCCTTCTTTACCTTTCACCATTCCTCCAAATATTTTCTGTGGTCAAGTCTGATTTTCTACTCTTTGAACATATACTCGACCTTCCATTTATTTAGGGGTGTTTTCATACTGGATGATCACACATGCTCAAAATCAGTCTTTTAGCTACAGTTTCCACTGCACATCCTTCTGGTTCTTCTTGTTTTGACTCAACATACTCTTGCCTGTACTTGTTGGCTGCCCAGCTGCTTGAAAAAGCCTGGTTAGCTTTGACCATCACGAGAATAGCATACCCTTGTCAAGAGAGACCCTTTGGAGGGCTTTCAACATTCCCATTCTTCAGGCATTTAAATGATGCTGGGATTAAAGGCATCTGGGTGGCTCAGTTGATTAAGCATCCAACTCTTGATACTGGCTCAGGTCATGATCTCACAGTCATGAGATCCAGAGTGTGCTTGGGATTTTCTCTCTCCTTCTCTCACTGTCCCTCCCTCTCTTTCTCTTTCTCTTTCTCAAAATAAATAAACATTTAAATGGTGCCGGGATTTTTGCAGCACAGGGAGGGGAAAGATTGGACTGCCTCCTTGAGCCTTCTACCATATGTTTTTACTTAGGCCCCAAATTCATAAGATCACAAACTCATAAATAATCCCATCAGCTTCTGACTTTAAAACTCTGTATTGGTTCCCTAGGGCTGTTGTAACAAACTGGTTGCTTAAAACAACAGAAATTTAGACTCTCACAGTGCTGGAGTCCAGAGTCCAAAATCAAGGTGTTTGCAAGGCTGTACCGTCTCCAGGGGCTCTAGGGAACAGGTATTCCTTACCTCTCCTAGGTTCCAGTGGCTCCAGATGTTCCTTGGCTTGTGGCCACATCACTTCAACTTCTGTCTCTGTGGTCACATTGCCTCCTCTTCTACATATGTCTCTCCTCTGTGTTTCTCTTATAAGGATGCTTATTATTGGTTTCAGGGCCCACTTAGATAATCCAGGCTAATCTTACCCCGGGATCCTTAACATAATTCTGGTCTTAATCTTCAAAGGACACACAAAGACTGGTTTTCCAGATGACTTACTTTCACAGGTTCTTGTAATTTGGGAAGAGATAGAACTTTTTGGTAGGCACAGTTCAACCCACTACTATAAAATTTTTTCTTTTATACTAGGCTCAAAATTATTGGAAGGTCTCTAGAGGGGAAGCGGGCTACCCAGCGTCATAACAGCCAGCTATATTTTTTTCTTTTCTTTATGGAGAGCACTTTACAAACTAAAACTACACTTCCTTCCTCCAACTACCTAAAAGAAGTCCTTGGGTATATGAAGTAAAGCAAATTCTGATTTGCTGTGAACGAAGGGTGGAAGAAATATTAAATAAAGAGGCAGAATCAAAATAGGAGAAGACAAAGCCAAATTTTCAATCAGAAAGTCAAAAATTACATCAAATGTATAGAACAAGTTCATCACAAAATAAGAGAAGAGATGGAAAAATTAGCATCCAGGACAGTTACAATTATGGCAGGATGAGGCATGGCATGGTCTGAGCCACACAGGAATTTGTCCAAAAGGAGAAACCAGGACACTGGGATGCTTGGCATTTATTGTAGAGATGAGAACAACATCTTGAAAAACTATAGATTCATGGTCTGCATTGCCAGATAAAAAATTCCCTAAATAGTAAGATAATGAGTCATAGACAAGCCTAAAGCAACACATTTTCCAAACAAGTGATGTACAAGTATTTATATGCGTATGTATGTATATGTTAGTTATTAAAAACACATGTGGAAATATTTTAAGAGAGCTTAAAATACTGTGTAGTCCTGCCTTGATTCTTTGTTTTATCATATCTCAATGAAATAAGCAATGTTGGATCATATTTTATCCATAATTTATAACCTTTTCATTATATAAGAGCATGAATTTTTAATAAACTATTACAACATTTGTTATCATTGCCCCAAGTGATTTGGGTAAAAATCAACAAAACCAACTAAAAAAGGGTATAAACATATAGGTACCCTAATAATAAATCATTCACTGCCCATGTACAATGTCAGTGGATGTCCCCAAAGTTTTTAACTGTCCAGTTGTGCTCTTCCCTCAGGAAATCTTTCTAGATTCTACCTTTAGAATACAGCTCCTTGCTATTCCGGGTAGAGTCCATGGATTAGCAGTAAATGCATGACCTGGGAGCTTGATAGGAGTGCCGAATTTCAACCCTCTGATCTTAGGCTTATGAAATAGATGATCCACATTCATATCACTTTCTGTAGTTTATTATTTATTAATGATCTCTCTGCTTACTCCCTTGAACTTAATATTTTGTCATGTCTAGTTTTTATTTTTATTTCAACTCAGTGGAATATGTGCCATTGTCTCAAAATAGTAAAATTAAAATGCAGGATTATAAAAATGATGCTGTTCAACTAATATTCTTTTTAATGTTCATTTTGTTTAGATCCCCCAATCATTGAAGGGAATATGGAGGCAGCAAGAGCAGTGGATTTAATACCATGGATGGAGTATGAATTTCGTGTGGTAGCAACCAATACGTTGGGTATAGGAGAGCCCAGTATACCATCAAACAGAATTAAAACAGATGGTGCTGGTATGTTGAAGAAACTTTTGAAAATTTGAAAGGTTTATATATATGGTACCACTTTTATATATAGTTGAATGTATTTGGAAATAAGTAATACTCTGAGGTAAGTGATTCATCTAAAAATGTGTGTATGTATTTCACACAGGTGTGTGTATTCTGTGACAAGACAGTCAAAAATCAAGAAAAAGGTCATATGATGTTTAAGAATATTTTTACATAAGGAATGTAAGGAAAGAAGTAAATAGAAATCTCTGCATATTCCACTTGGAATGACTAAAATGAAATTGGTATTTATAATATAAACTTTCATATTTGGGTGCCTGGGTAGCTCACTCAATTAAGCATCTGACTCTGGATTTCTGCTTACTTAGGTCATGATCTAATGGTTCATGGGATCGAGCCCGGAATTGGGCTGTGAGCTGAATCTGCTTGGGATTCTCTCTCTCCCTTTCTCTCTGCCCTTCTCCCACTCTCATGCTCTCA